AACTCCGAGGAACCTAACTAGTCTAGCGATAAAGACCGCCTAGAATTATAGCTAGACGACCCCGAGACTGAATAATCGTATGTCCTTTCCTGCCTCTACTACGTTGCTTTCCTTACCTCTATTAACCATTCTCCGCGCTATTAATGTAGAGCGCTGCCCTTTAGCTTTAGTCCTTACTACCTGTTCCTACGGATGTTGATGCTCTTAGTTATTGCCCTCCTTTGCTTTTACCTTGTCTGTTGTTTTGCTCTTTTGTCTTTTGCCCTCGATTGATGTTGCTATAACTTTATTCCTTTGCTCTTGTTTCCTTAGATAGAACTGTACGAGGCGTGTTTTCCTAATAACACCCCGGGGGTAGCATTAGGAAAATGGCCGAACCTAACCCTCTACCCTTCTAGGACCACTTCCCTCTAGGTTCCTAGACTCTAGCAACTACCCTTAAGTAGCAACGACAATAAGGTACTCTGCTAGAGGATGTTCCTACTATAATCAGCACTAGTCGCGTAGAACACTAAGAAAGGGAGGATCCCTCTCCCTTCCTAGCTCTTAGATAGACGCAGCAACCTAGGCCTATAGCCTCTAAGGATAGGGACCTTAGGCCGCTAAGCTTAGTATCTAGAAGAAAGAAGAATGCACGGGCTACGTTTATATGCCTGCTGCTATAAAAGGTGATGCTGTATCTACAACGATAGTGCTATAGGCCAATATAAGCTGCGCTAGGCCTAGGCGATTTGCTCCTAGTTGCCGAGCATCTCTAGAGAAAAGCTAATGCTACCCCGGGGGTATTATTAGTCCCGCTAGCCTTACTACTATAGATTACTACTAGGTACTCGAACTAACTAGTCACATTTCGAGTGCGCGGGAATCTACGAAAGCTAGAGGTTAACAAAGGCGCGTAGTCGCTACTAGCAATTAGCTAGATCGATTGTTAAACTTTAGCCGCCCTACTAATAAAGGAGTCTCGTATACAGCTTCACTTTTTAGGGTCTATATATAATCGTTATCCGTTTGCTTTACCGGAATATACGGACTACGCTACCTTCGCACCCTATTTAAGGCGAGCCTTCTAAGCTCTTTCTTCTACTCGAATACTAACTAACTTACTACCGCCTACCCCCTCCCCCTTCTTCTATCTAAACCCTTCAATTATTATTAACAAGCTACGAACGTTTTTGCAAACTCGTTACTAACTCCTTTCCGCTCCGGTCGACTAAGATGTCTTCCGGCGCCCTAAATCCGCTAGGTGCTAGCAGTAGCAGCAACCCGCTAGCCCTAAACCTAGGCGTACTAGTCCCGATCGAAGCCCCCTCCGATAGCGCCTTAGCTACTGCAACTAGCCTCGAGCACTGCTTCTAGATCGTTACCGCCCTTAAAGACCCTTAAGAGAAGATCTAGAACGCTCGCACCCTACTACGCGTTATTAATAGGAACATTAAGAAGGCTGCTATCTTAGTTGCGTACGGTATAAACAACTTGCGTTAGTCTATCGGTGAGCGTATCTTTAAGCGCGAGGTTCTTAACGATATAGACATCGAACAAGCCTTTCCTATCGTCTATAGCCTCGAGACGGCCGGCACCTAGATTCGTTTACGCTTTAAGACCCTCGACTAGGCCTTCGAATATTAGGGAGGACTAAGCAGTCTTCCTAAGAGCCTTATTAACTTCGCCTACGGTAGACAAGAGCGTACTAATTAGGTCTCTTCGTTCGTTAACAAGTACAAGGTCCGTCGTTAAGGCGCCGAGTATCTTTCCCGTACTATAATCTATCGTATATCTATAGCTAGTAAGAAGGTAGGCAAGCAGTTACTTAACTTGTCCTTTGCGCTTAACGACTTTACGATAGCCTACTAGAAGAAGTACTACGATGCGATTGTCTAGGTCGATCTTAACGTATAGACAACTAAGGATCTACTAAAAGAGAAGGGCTATCGTATTAATAGTGCAAGCTTTATTGTTAAAGGTTAAGAGGCTCCTATCGTTAATGTCCTTAAACGTAAGGCTCTTCGCCTAGAAACCGAGGCCGATACGGCTACTAGTCTTGCGCTCGCTACAGAAATGTAGGCTAAAGATCGTCGCTCGACCCGCAACCGTAAGGTCCCTTAAGAAGTTCAAGACGAGCGCGCTAAGGCCGAAGTAGCGCGTAAGAAGGCATTGTATGCTCGCTAGGCCCTCCGTAAGGCTACTAAGAAGTACAGCACTCCTTTTAGTACCGACTATAGTACTAACTATAGTACTAACTATAGTAACTCGGATGTTAATATACTAGATGTACTACTAGAAGATGTCTCCTCCGAAGGCTCTTTTAGCGAGCGTAGAGATAGAGGCCTCTCGCCGATCCTATTAACTAAGAACATCTATAGTTCTTGTAAGGGCGACTCTATCGTACATCTTATTACCGAGATCGATATAGTTCCTAAAGCCGATATAGGTAAAGCTCCTGCCGCCCTATCTATCTGTTAATAGCTCGACGACCTTAGCAAGCTAGGTAAAGAGCGGTTTACTATATATACCAACTATGTTAAGAAGGCTGCTAAGGTCTGTAGTCTCTATGCTAGTGCTAAGACGAGTGTCCTTATTAGCCGCCTGTTGAAGATTAGACGTAATGTCGCTAATTAAGATGCCTTCGCTGCCCTTAAGGCTAATTAGGCCTATGCTAACTAGTTTCCTAGACGCCCTATTGCCGCCCCGACATCTCTAGGACTCTACGCGTTCAACCCTACTAGTACTATTACTCGCGCCCTTACGCCGACGGATCGCTAGAGCAAGTTCGTTACCGGTATCCTTAGCTAAGGCACTTCCTTCGACCGCTTTCGCTAAACTAGCAATGCTATCTTCCCTTAAGTCTTTAGCTAGTTATAAGAGCCTCGTAGAGTATATCTTCCTTTCCTTATCGACCTAATATAGGAGGAGTTTGAAATGTACCTTTAGTATATACGTGCGATGCCTAAGTCTAAGTAGGAAGGCCGCAATACCCTTTAAACTTATAGTATAAGCAACCAAATCGTCCGCTAGTACCCTGCCCTATAGCTCTTAGCTATCGCCCTTCGACCTGATTACGTATACGAGCTTATCTCCGTCCCTAAGCCTACTAAGTTCTTTAAGGTTAGCGGTACTTATAAAAACTGTCCTTCTAAGGAGTCTGCTTATCTCGGACAAGATGTAGTTAAGCTCGCAGCTAGCGAGGGTACTAGTTACCTACGTATTAAGGTCTGCCTTATGTCTAAGGATAAGACTAGCTGCTCTACTATTGTCGAAGGCATATATTAGCCCGAGGTCTTTGCGAACTAGGTTGAGAAGCTTAAGGCTCGTAGCCTAGTCCTACTAAGCAAGATCGGCAAGCTTACTAATAAGCACCTTACCGGCGACGACCTCGACTATATGTTCGATAGTTAGCCTAATAGTAAGGGGCGTAAAGCGGAGTAGATCCTCAACCCTCTAAAGGAATACGAGGTCTCTGTTTAGATGCTACACCTTCCGTATAGTAATCTAAAGACTAAGAGCAACCGTATATTAATTAACCTAGGCTACTCTCGCGTTATTAACGGCACTAAGGTTAAGGGCTACGAAAACTTAACAGTCTCTTAGGTTGCTAAAGCGTACCGCAATCTGACCGCCCTCCTAGCCTCTAACTCCTTCGTGCTATTCGCTTTCCCTACGGCTATCTTAGTCGAAGGCCTCGGCTACATCTCCGACGCCCTAGTTAGTAGGATTCCTTAGTTAAGTTACGTTGTTTAGAACGAAGTTAAACAGATCCTCTAGCTCAATAACGAAGGACTTAAGGAGTATCTATATAATTAGGAGAAAGCTGCGACGGAAAAGGCTACTAACCTCCTTATTAATTAAGCTTTCTACGAGGGATAGTACTTCGGTACTAATAGCTTTAACGCGTACGGAGGAGATTTAGAGAGCCGACTAGTAGATAAGGTTATTGTTAGTAAGGATTACGGCGCGTTAAAGCAACAGTAAGTCTGTATAGTGTTACTTAGGAAGTCGTTTTTGCATGATTATAGTATCTAGGATTAATGCTACCCCGGGGGTGTTATTACGGAGTTGTAAACATAGCCTTAGCTAAGACCGCTAAGGATGCATACATGTTTGTTTTGAGCGCGCAATATGAAGCGTATCTAGTTAGACACGAAGAAAGGGAGGGATATTGGCTAGTAACCGGCCCTACACCTATAGGCTAGTTTTGAGCCTATATAAGAGGCCTCCTTCTGTAGAGTAGACAGATTATCAACCTCGTACAGTATATTGTTTATGTTACACTTCTATAATGCCTATATTGTAGGGCTCTAGTCATTAGCCTAAGCGATAGTCTCGTCATCCTATCTTACTAAATATAGCTGCCTATATTGCTATAGGTTATGTTACCCTCGGTAGCCTATACTATTGCTACAAGTAGTGGTAGTAGTGTTGGTTCCCGTCCTTTACTGCCTATATCGTTATAGGTTATATTACCCTCGGTTGCCTATACTATTGCTGCTAGTAGTAGTAGTAGTAGTGTTGGTTTCCGTCCTTTAATAGTCTATACGGGACTTTATTTAATTAGTAGAGGGGTTAGAAAGTTTACTTACGGGTTTAGAAAAGTCTGCTGCGGAACACGTGATTCTATATTATATATACGAATACCCTTTGTTACTAGTCTAAGTAGAGATAGGTCTAGTCCCTTCTAAGACATTCACATTTACCGCGCGTCTCTGCCTAAATGCATACGGAGTGTAGTGTAGTCTACAATTAATCCAATTAATCTAGACCCCCCTAAATTGAATTAGATTGCTAGGACCCCTAGATTGGATTGAATTGGATTGCTTTAATAGGGGCTAGATTAGATTAGATTGAATTGCTAAATTAGCAAGACTAGGCGAAATTGGATTAGATTGAATTGCTAAGTCTACCTAATTTAGCCCTTTAGCCCCTAGATTAAATTGGATTGCTTCAAAAAGGGCTAGATTGAATTGGATTGCTTTAGAAAGGGGCTAGATTAAATTGAATTGGATTGCTTAGTCAGCAGGAATAAGCCGGATTGAATTGGATTGAATTGCTAAGCCAATCTAGATTGCAATCCGGGATTGATTGTAGACCACACTGACGGAGTGCGTGATTCACACTTTATGTCGAAGTAGCACAGAATTGCCGTCGTATTGCACATCAAAAGCTGCCATCAGATCGCGGCCAAACCTCACATTACGCACAGAAGCTTGCTTCTGCTGATGACACCTCCGGAGAAGCTTGAATGGCTTCTTCTGCCGCCCGGACATAGCGTCCCACACCCACTTCACACTTTCTGCGAACTTCAACTCCCACCCGCGACTTAGACGATGCAAAGCCGCAGACGACTCTGCCCTCCGCTGAGCGCAGAACAAGAAAAGCTCGAATCGACTCTGAAACGTGGGCTCCACTTGAGAGATTGCGTTCTCCTTGGATCTGGAGGACTTGCTACAAGTGCTCTTTGGCGACTTCTGGTCGATGTTTCTAGGTTGGGATGTCTAGTCTGCGTGCGTCGAGTCGCGGTGTCTGCTTTGCGTCGCATCAGGTCGTGATATCGTGTCTCTCTGAGCATAGCTGTTAAGAACGTTTTGTACGGAATGGGCCAGCGTAGCACGTTCATCGAGAGTCTTGAGCGCAGGCGCAAACAGCTTGCTTAGGATTCGCAGCTTGAGATCATGGTCGGTCGTAGAAGCACATGTTGCTGAGTCGAGTCTCTTGTTTGGTGTAATCGAAAGCTCCATTTGCGTACCAGCGCTTATTGTCTTCGATCCCTCCGTTTGCGTACTAGCGCTGCTTGTCTCCGATCCGTAACTCTCAGGTGGCCATGCAAGAAGGCCTCTAGTTTCGAGCTCTGCGATGATGGCGGTCCATATCCGTCGGAATGTCTTCCGATGTCGTCGGAGCGATTTGTTTTGTATCCGATGGGTCCTGCTGCTGTTTCTGTGCTTGTCTGTCTAACTGTTGAGCGGATTACAGTCTACCATTATAGATCTTATGATTCCGTTCCTCGTACTACTGTCAGGCAACTTGGGCTCTGCTATGCTTTCTCTACCGAGGCTACGCTGTCTCTCGCGGTTCAGGAGTACACCTTGCAACCTTGTCCTAGAGGTCTCTCATTTGAGTTGTTCCTTAACTAGTGCTCGGGAGCAAACGACCTTCGCACGCCAGGACGTAGCGCTGTCTGCGTGATGGTTCCTCAAGCACAGAACTGCTTCCAATCGGCAGGCGAGTCCACATTCGTGCTTGCGGCTGATCCAGCGACTCCAAAGCAACTGAAAAGCAGCTAAAAGATGACCAAGCGTCGTTCCAGGCCACCAAGCGACGAGCTGGCACTCAGCCATCTCCTGGAACATCGTATCAGTGCAAGCGGCCCGGAGTATCTGGTTCAGTGGATGCCCTCGCTGCTGGACCGCGAACAGGTCATCGCTCGCTCTGATGGAACCGCGTTCGTCGAATTGAATGGCGAGGAGTTCGACGTCAAACTGAGCGTTCCCAAGGGACCTACACAATCATGGATCTTTTGGAGGCCGTCCTGGATCTCTCGAGTGGACTTGCTAGATTCACCGGACGTGGACATGGAAGTTGTCGATATGACAAGTTTTGAGCCTGTGCTCTGTGATTCACGTACCTCGCGATCATTGCCAGATGGAAGGTTCATGCCCGATGCCGGCTGTGATCACCCGGTCAGTTTCCTCGAGAGGCTGCACGCCCCTCTATCCACCAAAGACGATGCAAGCGGCCGTTGGTCTCAGCATGGCCCACCAAATGGGACGATGGGCATTGGGATGGAGCCCAGACAGCCCTTGATCTTTACGGACCAATTCTGTGAACGGAAGCTCCTTGTCAATGTTGCAAACACACGATCTCGAGACGCCATAGCCCTGCAAGTGGTCGGACTTGCACTGAAAGTGCCGTGCAACAACTGCGCAGGCGGAAAAGGCACGTTTTCACGCTGCGTGATTGATGCCAACCGCTCGGCGTTCAACGACGCGTGTGCCAATTGTGCCTTCCGAGGCCTTCGGAGCTCACCATGCAGCGTGGCAGGAGAGAACTGTAAGTACAGAGACATGGTTTGCAATGGATGGCAATGACGCTAAGTGCGTGCAGGTGCAGTCATCGAGTCGACATATAAGTCGGTTGCACAGCAGCTTCAATCCCGCCCTCAAGTGACCGAAGTCGTGCGGGCCGATCCTGTCCATGGAGAGACGTCGCCTTGTCTATCACGCAAAGGCAGAGCTATCACCACGTCTGCAGATCAGCCCGTGCGGAGGAAGCCAGAAATGACCGTCAGAGCTGCGCGCAGTCCTGCTAAGTCACGAGAAGCTACGGGGTCTTCAAGCAGTCGAAAGACGAGTTTGAAGAGTACGAAAATCGTGCGAGGACGCCTAGCAAATCCCTACGCGCGAGGAACACGAAGAATACCGACTGGGTGGCGAGTAGGAGAAGAGACATCCGCCGTGTCCGGTATCGATGTGATGCTCTTCGCGGGGCATTTTACCACAGCGCTTATGATTCTTGGGTAGCAGAAAGAGTCAGAAAGCAGAAGAAGCTACGGTATCAATCCATTGAAGCTTTTCTGCTAGCAGGCTACTCGAAGGACTTGGAACGCGATGCTGCAGGCATCCTGGCAGGAGATTCAAAAGCTTCGCATTTCTCGTGAGGCTTGGTGGAACAGGCGAGTCTCAGCATGCTTGTTTGAGAAGGCATACCGGTCCTTGATGATGCACTTGAAATCACTCACATAGTCATGCATACCTTTTGGTCTTCCGGGCACGAAACCGGCCCCAATTGTGTGCCTATTGCTGCAGTGCAACGTCCATAGCGCAACGCCGATCCCCATGTTCTTCAGAGCACAGCCAACACGTTCCGTGCATTTCTACAGGCTTGAAGCAAAGCCCGACATGTCTGCCGCTGAGACGTATGTAGAAACGCGTCAAGCCAGGTGACTGCACGAAGTAGGCGACGATCTTGCGAGAGGACGAGGCTGCATCGACTTGCATGGCAAAGTCAACCTGGGAATGAATTTGGAAAGTGACGAGGACGAGCTCCCGATGGGTGACATCCTGCTCGACATTGGCCGCAAACGTCTTGGGTGGCTGCAATGGCAGGTATTCAGGAAAGAACCGAAAGTCTCTGAACAGAACTGGGCATTCCATGAGCTCTCTATGGCCATACCGCGGAGATTTGCACGTGACGATCCAGAAATTGTCCGCCAGCTGTGTCACGCTTTGAAAAGAGCGTTCGCCGCCTTTGAAGGCTTCCACGCAGGCCTGTTCCAGCTCCAGCCTGGATTCCGCTGAGTCGGGCGCCACCGGAATCTCTGGAGTGCCGACCGGGAGGTAAAAGACGTAAAGATCAAGCTCATCGGATGAAGGCAGGTAGCAGTGCCACTTGACCGCCACAATGTCGCAGACATGGTCGTCGAACCACGAGTCAGATGAAATGGAGGCCTTCGTTGACACCTTGTCTGTATTCTTGGCAGTTTTGTTCGCAGGAGCGGAGGCATTTTGCTTCGCCGTTCTACGGCCATCGACGCCGAGAGCTTCACGCACCCACTCTTCCGGAGCGGGTCTCTTCTGCAAGACTGCACGCTTGTTGTTGACGGCAGATATAGTACGAGAGGCTCCGATCTTTGCAAGGTCCTTGGCGATTGCCCCAGAAGGCCGCTGAAGCCGCATGCCTTTCAATACAATCTCTTCCTCCTGCTCAGACCAGTCTCGCTTTTTCCCTTGCGTCGGACTGTCGGAACCGTCTTCGAGATGCTCGAATAGCGTTCCGTCCACATTCCGTCCGCATCTGTCCGTTCCCGGGCCCGAAAAGAAGTAACGAGACCGAAGCGACGCACTCTGGCTGTGGGGCGATGAACGAGTCCAAGATGTCGCGGGAGTCCTTGAGCCGTCGTCAAGGTGTCTCGCGCGTCCTGGAAGCTCCGCTTCAGTAGTAACAGCGTCCGCAGGACCACTCTTGCTCCCAAGAGCGGCATGCTTCATGTAATCGTGCGCATCGCTGTGCCGATCCAGCGAGACATGCTCGGAAGGATGGTGTATTTCTTGCCTAGATTTGGAGACAGTCTCGTCATGCTCAGTGTCCATTGCCGCGTTAGTCAGGTCCACGAAGGCCTTCTTCGTCTGAGCGCGCAATATGTCCACGACTTTCTCAGCTCCTGCACCATTGATGCCGTGAGAACGGAGTATGCCGTCAAGATCAACGAAAGCCCGCTTGATCGATGCCGCCTCGGACAGGTGGACTTTAGGGAGTATCAGATCATCGAGAATTGTCTCCACGGCCGGCGCAAAGAGGCGCGGCGGGATGGTGCTTGCGCTGAGGATCTTAAGACAATGGCCCAAAGCCTCATTGGTCGAGTCCATGATGTGGTTTGGGGCGTGACCGGGGTAGTTTGAAGTTTTGATGCCCAGTGTGTGTTGGGGATGAGAAATGTTGTGGTGCTGAGAGTTCTCGCTGTTGCCCCCTTGCTCTTCATCATCGGTTTGGTAAGAAGCATTGCGAGAGGGAGAGCGCGAGGCCGAGTCGCGCGATTCGCCGGGTTCCATGAATGACTTGGTCTTTCGCTGAGGTGGTTCGATCGAATCACTCCTGCGTTTTGTTCCTTGTGCCACGCCATTGACGGTCCGCTTGGGCAGTGTCATCTCTTGCGTTCTTCGCAATGTCAGCGCTGGAAAAGTCGCCGCAGACGTCGATAGTGATACATACGTCCCTTGGACACTCTGATGCAACTTCAAGCTGTCCTTCGGATAGGCAACACGCCCTGGAAATCTACGTTATGGCGGTGGGCGCGAGACTTCGCCCGCCATGCCAAAACAGTGAACACCCCTCTGAGGCTCTGGCCTGGTCCAGCTAAGGATGTTGACGCCATCTGCCGGATGTCGGGTCGACAGCTGGGGTAGCTATGGATTGGACCGAGAACACAGCTTGATGAAGTTCCTTGATTGAAATGGGTTCCAGCCATGCAACAGATCCACGACGAAGGGTGGTGACTGCTGTTTAACCATGATGATAGACATCGAGGTGTTTGCACCTAAGATCTGCGGATGACATTCCACGTGTATGGTGCATCAAACCCATTGGGAAAGGGGATTGTCCAGGGTAGCTTGTCTTGCGAGGGCTGGGACTCAATAATGGCAATCTTCCAGCACCAACAGAGCCTCTCCCCTATTCGTAGTTTCGTCCAATGGCAAACCCTTGCTGACTTTGAACGAGGACAACGTGAAGCAGAGGGACGGCGTCGTGGAGCGAGGCCGCCAGTCCTCTTCGGAAGGCACGTCTAGGTAGCATTCTCAGTTTTGATTCACTAGTTTTTGGATGATAGCATTCCGGGCAATTCGCGAACGACGAGCTTCTCGATGGGTTCGCCGGGACCCATAACGCCTCGCAGGCGACAGCCGCCCGAACGATTGGTAGATGTCCTGCAACGCGATGTACGTCCGACGATGGTGCTGCCTGTGCCAGATGATGAAATCCCATCTTCGCCTTCCGACGCTCATCGGCGCATCGCTCCAGGAAGCGATCCAATCGAGGCAGACTTCGGTGTAGCGACGATTTTAGAGAGGGTCACGGAATCTGGGCTCGATTCATATCTGGTGAGTTGGCAGCCGACAGATGTTAGGGCAGATCAAGTGATCGAAGAAGATGGTGAAAGATTTGTAGACATTGATGGCGTGCGATACGGCCCGGTCGAGGAGATCTTGGGACTGGAAGAGCATGCCAATGGTGCGGATACAGTCACAGTGGTCTGGCGGGAATCGTGGAGATCGGTCTGGAGATTGGGACGAGCGTTGGGCTGCGTGGCCGAATACTACAGAACGCATCCGGAGGAAGACGAAGTACGGAAGTTGCAGCCTCGCTTCTGGAATTGGTACAAGCTGGATCCGGAGAAGTTGCGACTCCAGATTGAGGCGATGTCTTGGGCCGAAGTGGAACTCGATGGCAGTGACTTTGAGCCCGAAGACATCAACTACACAAAGCCCTTGATGACGCTGTGCAAGCGTCTGCTGAAGCAGAAAGCTCATCCGTGGGTTCGTCTCCTCAACATGCCGGTCATGCGGCTCCTCACATTCACTCGACGCTGGATTGAGAAGGGCCACTTTCACATTGAGCGAATGTCGAACCTGAAAGCCATGTTGGTGCACTGTGTTGGCACCGAGAAGATGGATCGCTGCAGTGCCTGCGCTGATCCCCAGGGTGAAGTGCCCTTCAAGGGATGCGTTGTGGACGATGCCGAATTTCGTGGAGCATGCACCAATTGTGTCGTGTTGGGAGGTGGACGGGAGCAGCAATGCGAATGGCATCATGGCAGTACGCGAGACTGATCCCGCCGTGACGACCTGAGTGCTGACAATGTACAGTCCGTTCATGCGAACGAAACGGTTCGAGGCCAGCCGGAGACGTCATAAAGTCGAGAGAAGAGGTCGAAGAAGGACTCACTGACGGCGGTCGAAGCAGTAAGTCTGAGCGGAAACGAAGCGGCCTGAATGCTGATGCTTTGCAGCGGAAGAGTTCGAGACCGGAGAAAGTCAGCCGACTCCGGCCAACGACCGTTCGAGTAAGTCATGGCGGAAATGTAAGGATCGGAATGCTGACGATCTGCAGCGGAGGAGGAAGACTTCCTGACAGGAGAAAGTCAGCTGAGTCCGGCCAACGACCATTGGATGTCGGGAGGTCTGGGTGATGCTTCCGACAACGACGTGTCGGAAAGAGAATCAGGCGGACAACCACCTGTCGACAAATCCGGTATGAAAAAAAAAGTCCGCCCCTATCAGGCAACAAGATGCTGACGAGAGCCAGTTGAAGTGCCAGACAGCCGCCCCGCAACACCATGCACGACGGAAGATGATGAGCCGAACAAATTGGCCTCAGATCCCCAAACAGGAGAGCGGGGTGCGACACATCAGTCTCCATGGGCGACTGGCGGACAGGAATTCTTTTCCAAAGGGTCGAGTGGTCTTTTCGTCACGCCCGAAAGAGAGCGTGATGGCCCGAAAGCCGAAGCTTCTCGCCACGCCTCACGATCGGAGTCTGTCTTGGCCTTCCGCCCAGCCTCTCATGCTGTGTTTGCAGGTCCAACGGCGGGAAGCCTGTGGCCCGAACCGTCCCGGTCGATGACGAGCGAAGGCCGCATTGGTTGGGCCCCGGCGAAGAAGAAGCGCAGAGATGAGGCTCTTCCCACTGCGAGCACTCCGCAGCCGAAGCGCCAACGAGCGTCCTTAGAGCCAAGTACTCCCCGAGTCGGCAAGCACAAGGCATGCGGGAACAGCTTCACTTGTCTCGATCGCGATGTTGGATGTCCAGACGGCTTGAGTGGAAGAAGCATGATCTACAGCAATCATCGGTTCGACGGTAGTGGGCAAGCTGTGACGCGTCAGCTCAGTCACATGACAAGCACGTGACTTCTTGGCCTGAAGAATTTTCATTGTATTTTAGACTATAGAATAGAGCAGAACATAGGCAATCAACGAAGCCAATTCAACCGCCGGCAATGCAGTATTACGTAAGTAATCCACTGCGCTGTGCGTGATAGTTATAAGCCCGGATTTAATCCGCGGTATTAGAGACTTCTACAGTAGGAAAGAATTTTTCCATCCTACGAGACCTTCAACAATCGACAACAATCGACAGTCTTAACGGCACTAAGAAACAACTATTCAAGCTTCTACAAGCCTCTACAATCGTTTCGAATTCAGTATATCCTTAATAGCCCTCTCATCAGCTAGTCGCCTCGGTAGCAGCAAGCTTATTATCCTTCGTAGACCCAATAATTAGGATCGATAGTTTAAGCAAACTAAGACGTATCTAACTAGATATAAGACCTAGGTCCTTGCTGACCTATATTCGACTAAGCTAACTGAACTAGCACAACCCCTTCTCCCGGAATTCGATATGGAACAACTTATAAGCAATCCCCTATATTAGGCTAGGGCAAAGCTTACTAAGGAACACTTTGATATAAGGAAGGCGGAGTTTGAACGCTTTAGGACAGCTCGCAATAAGATAATTGAATATCTAGCTACAACTGTAGACATTCGTTATTATTCAGAGATTACTAATCCTAATGCAGACAACGTAGTACCAACTATACGGCTTATTCTAACTCGATTGAAGAACAAGCTTATACCTAACACTTAATAGCAAAGGACTGCCCTTAGCAAGGAGCTTCACCGCCTTGTAAATTCCAAGCAGGTAAAGGACCCCGAGCACTGGTATAAGGAATAGCTTGACCTTTATAAGACAATGAAACGCATACAACACCCGGAATTTGACAACTTAGTAACCTACCTATATACTGCAGTTATAAATGTAGATAAGACCTATAGTAAAGGGCTCTATATAATGCACTAGGTAGGGCTATTAGTCAACAACTTCTATCAACTGATTAGCATAGTACGAGAATATGCCCGCAATATGCTAGGTACTTCTAAGAAGGGTTCATCCTTTGGCATTATCTACGAAGAAGGTGAAGCTAGTGCCAACGCCGCTCTGCAAGCTGCAGACGACAACGATAAGCCTAACAAGAACAAGGGCCGCAGTAACAGTGGCAACCGTATACTAAAGACCTGTGCTAAGCTTACTAGTATAGGTGAGAAGAAGGCATATGAAAACCGCGGTAAGTGTACTGTAGTGAACTACCGACTTCGTAAACAAGTTGAAGAGAAGGATAAGGACAACAAGTAGAAAGGAAAGCTAAAGTACTTTGAATCCTACCTACGTAAGAACAAGGGCTTCTGCTTAAGACAGGCTAAGTTCTTTAAGGACCTACTAGCCATTAAGATTGCCCAGCAGTACTATAGACTCTCGTCTGAAGATAGAGACGATGCTAGAACAGGAAATGGATTAGACAAAGTCTCACTAGCCTGCTTCTTCAAACCTAACATACTAGACCTATTAGCCTTTGCATCAGTTACTCTTATACCAACCACCCATCTGTTAATAGCTACAAACAGGAACAAGAAATGGAACCCCTTCATTAGACTAATGTATAATAGCGGATCTAACTGCAACATTGTCAACTACCCTAGTCGCTTCAACTTTTAGGCTATATTTATTCCACCGCGAGCCACTATAGTAACTGGTACGGGATACAATAAAGTCATCGCAATCGGAAGGGCATCCTTCACTGTTATTTCAGTAGCAGGTAAACCCCTAACTATTAAACTAAAGGAATGCCTCTATATCCCTAACTTCTATACTAATATTGTTAGAGGAGCAATCTTCTATTACCGTAGGTTTAAGCACAATAAGCTTGATGATGTCCTTTACAATCCATAAGGGAAACTACTAGTCCCTCTTATTAGACCGGACAACTACATGCCCTATTTCGACATTACCTACGAAGCAGACGGTAAACCTCCGCTCGAATAGCCAATAGGGGATGAAGGCAAACCATATCTATACCCCTTCTAACTGTCTCAGTTATCCTATGCAACAGCCCGTCGCTCCGTACGCCTACTACCTCTAAGGAAGCTTACACTGAAGCAAATACATAAAGTGTTTAGGCACCTAGGTGCTGAAAGAGCAGAAGAGCTAGTTAACAGGGTTAATAGGATAAAAAGGGATCATACATATAATAATGAGGTACTAAGAACACCACTGTGCCCTATATATACATAAGCAAAGGGCAAGAGGCTCATTTCAAGGAGACTAAGACACTATAATGTGTCAATATTAACTATATATAGGCACATTGCAGCCGATTTGATACAACTGGACCCGGCCTACAATGGTAACTAGTACATCTTTCACGTATACGACTTGAATACTAGACTTTATTTCACATAGACAATCAGTAATCGACAGGAATCAACTCTTCTATAATGCTAGAACCAAATAGCCACTTTCGTACGCAGCATTGGGCGAGACATCATCTGTTTGTTATCTAATAATAAAGGAGGCATCTCAGGCCTTCGGTTTCGATCGTATTTGCGCAATAACCACACTACCTAGAGGCTAACAGCCCCGTACATATCAGAACAGGACCCAGCTAAGCGAGCAGGCCGTACTATTATTGAGGTGGCTCGAGCCTTAATAATACATACTGGGTTCCCTCACAACCTATAGCTAGAAGCAGTTTATATAGCTACCTTCCTCGCCAATAGATTACTAAGGTCTCGAACCGCTAACTTACTAATGCGAACACTATATGAGATTAGCACTAGGCATAAGCCAAATGTAGCCTATATCTACTAGTTTAGTACAAGGGCATATCCAGTGATCTACGGCATAGAGACAGCCAATAGCAATAGCAAAAGGAAGGCTATACTGCCAAACACTATGAAAGTAGCCTTACGGACTTACATTGGGTACCTATATAGTTATAAGGGACACTCTATCTATAGGATATAGGTGCCCTCAAGGATAACAGTGCTACGCACAAGAGATATTATATTTGACGAAACCAAGTTCTACAACGGCTATAATAACGACCTAGGCGTTGTTATAACTAACTAAGAGCTTGCAGAAGAATACAGTGATCTCGAAGAAGTACAAGCACCCGCCTCGGAGCATTAGTTTGACGAACTTCGAGAAGCCTACGACACACCTCTAGACCTTATCAGGTTTGGAGCTAAGGGGGTGGATACACTAACAGGGCCTAGTCGACTCATAATAGTTAACAGGCTAACAGATGACCCTATTAGACTAGAACTACTACTACCTCAACCACCAGCACTAGCTGAGCTATAGCTTGTATAGGTACCTATATAGAAACGAGACTTTCCAATTGATCTACGCGAAATACTACAACCGCGTAATAATATGCTAGATGGACTAGTAGAACCAACCATTAATCAGCAACCTAAGAACGATGCCAGCAATAAAGCCCCTAATAATAATGTAGACGCACTAGGTCATACAGATAATATAGACTTCAACTTGCTACGTGCTAAGCTAGCCGAATTGCTAATGCCAATTGAAGCCGCTAACGTATCTCATCGTTACTTACTAAACACAGGAGGGCCGCATTATCGAGTTAACAACCCAAACAAACGACAGCGAGCAGCGGCTATCTACCGAGCCGGCCGTTACTATATTAGCGACCGAGAACAAGCGAGAAACCTCCTTCTATTTAGCAACCTTTGTATAGCCGCAGAGCATAAAGCACGCTTTATACAGCCAACTCGATCTAATGAGTCTAATTCACCAGACCCGCTAGCGCTACCACTTCCACGAGACGAGAGCGATCCAACCCTTATACCGAAGGTCTCAGACCTACTAGCAGAGCCACGTAACTAGCGATAGGTACTTAAGAGCCGGTTCAAGGAACAATAGATATATACTGCAAGAGTTGAATTCAACAAGGCACTGAAGATACGTACCTTTAAATAGGTGGATCTGAATACACTAGATAAGCCTAATCTTCTGCCTCTTACTTAGGTATTCAAATACAAGGGTAATGCTAATAGCCGACTGATTAAGTTCAAAGCAAGAGTATATGCAAGAGGGGACCTTTAGAAGAACACACACTTAGACACCTATACCTCAACACTAGCTGCACGAGTTTTCAGAGCCCTTATAGCTATCGTAGCTAAGTTTAACCTAGAAGCTAAGCAAATGGATACAGTTAATGCCTTCCTCAATGCTATGTTCCTATATACGCTATACCTTAGACCGCCTAATGGATTTGAGTAGAAGGGTAAGGTGTTGAAACTAATCCAAGCACTCTATAGTCTATAGGAGTTACCTCGACTATAGTATAACCACTTCACTACAACACTGGAAAACAAACTTGGTATACAACTAGTAGACAATGTAGACTGCCTGTATACCGACCTAGACAAACAGGTATTCATCTTCTTCTACGTAGACGACATAGTACTATTGTATTACCGCTAACACAGACAGAAAGCAATGGACCTTAAGTAGAAGCTAATGAAGGAGTATAAGCTCAGTAACCTAGGGAAACTCTTATGGTTCCTCGGTATTAAAGTTATACGTAACAGACAGAACAGAAAGCTATAGTTGTCACAAAAGGCATACACTAAGAAGATAGGTCAACGTTATAGAATTGATCCTAAGAATAGCAGGCGAGCAGAGGCACTATTGCCGACTGGATACGAACTATACGAGAAACCCTCTAACAAGGAGACTCGTTATATAGACTTATTAGCAATCCTAGCATACTAGAGCCGTATAGGTTCACTCAACTTTGCAGCGGTACAAACCCGGCCGGACATAGCTAAGGCGGTCTCTATGCTGTTAAAAGCCCTTCAGAATCTACGGCAAGAAGATATAGCCGCTGCCAATTGGTATATTAAATACCTGCTACAAACAAAGCACCTATGCTTGGAATACAACGCTAGCGGACCAACAATTACCGTTCACTCAAGCCAATAGCTTTATGAATTCTACGGAGCTTCTAACGCATCCTATAGTGACTATAAGGGCACGAGACAGTCGTTAGAGGGATGGATATTCAGCCTATTCAATGGACCAGTTAATTAGAAGGCAGCACGACAGTTAACTGTTACTAAATCTACGACTGAAGCTAAACTGCTAGCTGCCTTATATACAGGCTTAGAATTGATCTAGTAGAAGCGTTTCTTCAACAATATTAGCCTCACTTTAGACAGCATTCCTATGCTGTACTGTAACAATACACAGACCATCCGCATCATTAAGGCTAATGCTAGCAAACTAGACACGAAGCTCCGCTATATAGATATTTACTAGTGCTAGCTAAGGCAAGAACATAAGACTGGAAGGATTCAATGCGAATACCTAGCTATATAGGACATACTAGCCGATGGAATAACTAAGCTCTATAGGCCGCAGAACTAGAAGAGGTTCATTAAACAGCTGAGACTGACTGAACCACCTAACCTAACAACTAACTAAGATGTATAGTTGTAGGGGCATATAAGGAAGCAACTCTTCCTCTAACAACCTCTTCCTCTTTAGCAATACGAAGACAACTCTATATAATAGGTAGTAGTGGCCCCCCCCTATTCACTACCAATTGTAACTAAGTCGATTGAGTACACCTTCATCGATTGGCGCTAACAAAAGTGTCTAATACGATAGCGACGACCAATCAGGACAAGGGATTCAACCTTACCTTCTAATAGGAAACAAACAATAGTATAGGCAACCTTACCTTGCGGGTTACGTTACTGTCGCCGTTGCCTATATCATTACTTCGAGCGTTACTTCTACCAACCAATAATAAGTCTGCGGCGATTGTATCAGTACTAGTAATGATAGTACAGTAGTCTTAGCTAAGGGTGGCGTCCTTAGTTAAGTTATCTATCCTAATTTATTAAATCTGTTCAACCAATGTATACCTCACTTGATCCTTCCGTCCAATTAAATAGACGCTACCTATACGATTGATCTGATAACCGATAGTAATAGTATAAAGGGCTCAGTTCAAATTGAACTAACTTTACTGCACGATACGAGTACTTAGATGAGGCTCAATAGTGTCGGTCTGTGCTTAGACTACGTAGGAAGACAACAGTTCCTAGTAACAGGGGCTATATGTGAAGGTGCACATGCAGTCCGGATTATATAACGATATCCTTCTAGGGTAATCGGGGTATAAAATAAGACTCTCTTATATATAGTGTAGATTCAAACCATTTTTTTAGTGTTTTGATAAAGCACTATATAAGAAGTCGAAAGGATTAATTTTTCTTTTGTTTACATATAAAGAAGCATTAACTACCTTGCCTAAAATGGAAGGCACTCCCCTTTTTTGTACAAGCTGAGGGGGTATATAACGCGTCAGCTCAGTCATATAACAAGTACGTGACTTCTTGGCCTAAAGAATTTTCATTGTATTTTAGACTATAGAATAGAGCAGAACATAGGCAATCAACGAAGCCAATTCAACCGCCGGCAATGCAGTATTACGTAAGTAATCCACTGCGCTGTGCGTAATACAAGCCAGTCCCGCTGAAGTGCGCTTCATTGTCGGCCGATGCAGTTGTGCGAATGCCGAGAAGTTGAGGCGTGCATATCGAGATCACATTGCGCACAGAAAAGAGCGCGGGATGAGTGTCGAGGGCCTGTCGTTTGAAACAGTGATGTCGCAGAGATTCTGGGAAGTTTTGAACGAGGTCATCAGACTGGGATGTCCGCCTCAGCCGGGGGTGGGCTTTGCGCCAGGAGAAGAGATCGTTCTCGACGACTGAGTCGATATCCCGTACATTCGGTGCGTCTGTTCTCGCGCGTAGCTTTCCTCGCGCCGCCATTCATTGTCCCTGGCCAACACGCCTGGTACTGCCCGTGAGCGGACCGCGGCTGGTGGTGTCTTGATGTGGGGCCGATGGAACTGGAGATGCAGCGATGGAACATGTCGATGTCTACGTTATTCTAGAATACTGTACGGGGAAGCAAACATTGCACTCGACTCGTGTCGACCGGGCAAGTCTGCACCATCCATCCCATCCATCCCATCCATCCCATCCATCCCATCCATCCCGTGAGTCCGCCTCCGTTGAACCCGGCGAATCACCATCTCCGCTCCCCGGCCTTGCTCACCCGAAGCTTCAAGGCAAGACGGCTCCAGATGCAGCCCTCCGCACTCTCACATGCTCCCCCAGCGTCCTGTCGATGGCCTGGATGATTTTGGGTGAGCGGAAAGTGTTCACCAGCACATCGACAATGCACTTCGCCTCGGCCGAAGTCAAGACGTCGACCACGTGCTCGAATGTATCCGCGTCGTACTTCCGCATGCACTCGTACGTGCCCGCCCAGGTGGCCAGATCTTCGTAGCTTTGCACGCTCGCGGCCGAAGGCAACCGATGATGGACCAGGATCTTGATCGCTTCGGCAACGATGGGCCAATCTTCAGGCATCGTCGCTACGTTCTGGAGGCACACTTCGATCATGGAAGGCTGCTTCGAGGAAGATGTTGAGGTCGCTGCAGCAGGCTGCTCAGTGCTGGGGCCGGGTGGACCCCGTTCCGCCGGATCACTTCGCCGACGTGCGCTCCCTGAGCTGATCTGGCGTCTCTTCCTCCCGTTCGCAGTCGGCTTTTTCGGCGCTTTCTTTCGTTTGGCAGTGGGAGTGTACGACCCGTCAGAGTCATTGCCCTCGTCGTCTGCTTGAGCCTCCTCATCCTCCTCCTCCTCGTCCTCTCGCTCTTCTTCCGGATGTGGGCGTGGTGGTGCCATCTCCGGCTGGGCACTCGGTTCCTCCGGCTCACTTTTGATACCAAACTGCATGCAGGCGGTCTGCTTGCTGCGTTCGGCGATCTCGTCGATGAGAGCGAGAGATCGGGAAGGCTGCATATCTGGCGGCATTGACGGCATATGGATGCACTAGATGATCGACAATGTTGTCTACTTGAAAATGACGCGAGTCTGTTGATTGTGCTTCTTGTTCCGCGCCACGGCACTCCGCGTCTGTAGACGTAATGAACAGACCAGCATCCGGTGAAAGAAGCTTCGTCCAAGCTCAAATTTGGGCTACATCTTCATCAATCGCTTCATCTCTGAGGCTGAGGCTCACAAGTCAAGATCTGCGCAAGCTCCAGCAACGGAGTGCGGTAGGTTGGTCTTGTGCCATATTCTCGGTATCGTGATATGGAAAGAGTAACGAAGACATGCACGATGTATCTAATCCGTTGTACATAACACCGTAGAGTTCTCACGATGAGCGTGAGTTGACCAGGTCCCCTGCTCAAGGATGTTCGACAGAATCGACACGGTCGCTGACCATTGCGCGGCCGAGATTACAAGCATGCTATAGAATGACCGCGATCAAGGAATACCAACTCCGTACAGCCGCGAAGATTTAAAGAGCCCTACGGAAAGTGCAATGGAGACAGATGATCTTTTGTGAATCAGGAGAATCGATACTATCTGCAATAATATACGTGCTGTCACGATTGGCCAGAGCACGGGAGTGCGTCTCCATCAAGCGCTCTACCTACGATGCAGTCACTGCCAGAGCCATGGGACAGACCTGACCGCCATGAACTATGCGGCAAATCCAGCACCTCGTATTCTGGTCGAAGCTGCGAAAGAAGACATTGTATGGAGCAGTCATGCCCTGCACCATGATAGGTATGTAGAAGCCGAACAGGTTCGGTGGTTTCGGAAAGTACACCAGAAGGCGGCGACGAGTGCCATTCCTTTGGTCCAGCAGTGTTGGTGCTGGCAAGCCGCGTCTCGACATTTCCCGTCTGAGCTTTCGGAGTAATCTTGTGGCGTCCAGATCGAGATGACGCGAAATGCTCGCAGAGAACACGCTTGTTGGGCACGAAGGCAGGTGATTGGAGATGAGCTTGAACCCGCGTAGGAACATGTGCCGACCAAGAAGTTGACCCTGATGGTTGGCAGAGTTGGCATCATATGCACGCAAGCAGACACCCCATGCCTGAGAGCTGAGAGGCCGGAGTTCCACCACTGAAGCCAGACCTTCGTATGCGGCTCGACAGCATTCTTCAACCTCGGCTCGAGTGGCGTCTGCGATAGGGAACTGGGGAGTGTTCACGAGAAGCAGCACGTAATAGAAGCCTGGCTTTCGAGTCCAGGTAACAAAGTCAACAAGGACTGTTGATTTATGGACAGTGTCTGCGTCAGATGGCAATGTATCGACTTTTCGCTGGCCTGCATGCGGTTCCCTAGGGAATCCTGCTGCGGACCTCGAAGTTTTACAGGCAGAATCACCGGGTTTGTCGGCGGCCACCAACTCGGCATCCAAGGGATCAGCATGTTCCGATATGAACTTCATCAGAATCGGCTTGATCTTATGTTCCAATGACTTTCGGCTCTTCGTACTGAGCACTTTCTTGACTCCAGTGTTGTGCAGATCGCTGAGACGCAGTTCCCAAGACTTCTGGACCGGCCAGGGCAAGGTTTGCCAGACTTGCGAAAGTCGATGGCTGACTTGGTCGGAGTCCTGCCAATCCACAAGGCCCGACGTGGCCTGGTGCATTCTGAGGTGATACGCCAAGAGATGTAGACCGGTGGGAAAGTGTGCCTTGGCTACAACTGACCGCTCTTCCTGGCTCAATTGAGAAAAGCGAACATCGTCGAAGCTCCAGACGCAATCGAGGCTACGAGTGGCAGTTCTGTTCTGCTTGACTTCTCTGGGAACAGTACTTTGAGGACCAGGCTGATTTGTGAGAGCTTCCGCAGAGCTTGATGCTTGCAAGGTGTCGCTGCCGGCGATGACGGCTGCCACGATTCCAACGGCGGCTTGTTGTTCGAGAAGCTGTTGACCAGCTGGACCGACCGGTTTCTTGAGACCATCTTTGTGTAGGCGGAACAAGAGTTGCTCCCACTCCGATCGGGAATCGGCGCTGAGACGCGACCAAGTCTCGTGGAGGAGTGGCTCTACACTCTGCACGCCATTCGACGCAATTTTGATGCTGATGGCGCTGTTCGCCTTGGCGTGGAAGAGGAAGAGACTCTGCGCAGTTGGGAAGTGCGCCTTGGCCATTTCCACTCGCCCGATTTTGTCCAGCGATTTCGATTTGTAGCGAGCCGGGTCAAACGCGGCATTTGCGTCTTGTGTGGCAGAGGCCTCAGCGGGCGCAGTCGCGGCCTCGAGTGTCTGACTTTGAAAGACTCTCGCCTGCACACCTCCCGGCCGTGCGCTTTCAATGCGCTTCCCCAGCTTGTCGCATATTGTCTGCAACATCTCGGCGGGCGGCGAGTGCTTGAACAATCGATCAAGAATGGAGTGATCTCCGCCAAGCACAGTTGCCTGGCTGTGCAACCACGTTGAGCAGTCGAGCGTCTCGCCGTCGCTCTGATTCAACGCATATTGTATCCAGCATTTCAGGAGCTCTTCTTCCGTAATACCGGCGGCATTGGGAAAAGCTGCGAAAAGATCCAGGCATTTTCTGATCCTTTGAAGCTGACCCGGTTCCCGTCGCTGCTCACCAATGACCTTGCACTCATCATCACCACTCTCCTGTACTTGAGACCCAGGCTTTGGCGGGGAGGACGGCGACGGCAGTATCGAGGGATCGGAGCCTACGTGTTGGGCCTCTTGTGGTGCAGCATCGGCATCGACATCGCTGCTATCGTCGGATTCATTTTTGATCTTGAGCGTTTCGTAGGCGCGCCGCTTTGAGCGCTTCGCAAGCCGATCCACAACAGATGGAGTTGGAGTTGAAGTTCGTTTCGGCATTCTTGTCTCCAGTGGGTTAGCCTGCATCTGAGCCGAGCCGAGCCGATTTGGTCTCGCTTACCTACGACAACGCTACACTCTTCCCGTCGTCTTCCTCGAGTGTGTTCGCTTTGGAAAGAAGGCCGCTCACAATGTTCAGAAGACGGCAGGGACGACTCCGCCGCCATGACCGCGATTGACTGATGATGCATGCTGCGTTTCCGTGAAGCTCTTTCCCGCCCCTGGATGCTCGAGGATAGTATGTGATGAAATGAACTTCAGATGAAGCAGGACCCCCGGCCCGGCCCGGCCCGGCCCGGCCCCTCTCGTGAGAGCACTTCTATGTTCCGCTCGCTCCATCGCGGTGCGCCACACTCGATACCGCTCCCAATGGACTCCGAAGCGTACATGTTCTGCCATTGATCTTCTGCGCCGTGATCTCGCGCGCCGCCCTCACAGTGCATGCTACGCCTGCCCCCCGGTCCATCCCAACAGGCATTGCACAGATTCTCATCCAAAGTAGGGGCAAAGTCGAACGGACCACATCCAATCCAATGCAGGACCACCGTGCGTTTCCATGGAGGAAGCCGAAGCCCCTCTGGTCCTCCCTGTACTGTATACAGTATGTGATGCGGCAAGGCGCCTGGCCCCTCTCTCCTGGAGCACTCTGATCTTCCTCCAATTCCATGGTGCTCCAAATGGACTCGCGGAACAGATGTTCTGCGAGCCTCCACGCCGTGATATCCCGCCTTCACTCTGCGTGCTACACCTCGATCGCCCTCCCTGCTCCATTCCAACAGGCATTGCACAATAATTTGAGAACCAAGCGAGATGCCAACTCCCAACCTGGCACGTGGAGGCCGTGTTCCGCAGCTCTGAAGCTTTCGGTGCCACGGAAAGTCCATCATGGTATGGAGAGTCTAAGCATGCGCGCGGCGACGCTATGACGGGCGCGACCAGGGAACTTACAGCGCGCGCGTCCAGGCGAGGACGCGCGCTCGCCTGTGATCAAACGTGTGAGTGGCGATGAAGGCTGAGTCGTCGTTGTCATGCCTCTCTTCCTGTGGACCGATGCCGCCAAAGAAGTGAGACGCCTAGAGAAGCTGTCAATTGATTTCGAGAAACTACAGGACCAGACCGAGTGGAACCGAGATCGGGTCAAGAGAGTCAGACGCTCCGCCTGCCCAAGCCCGGAGAAAGCATCAGAGATTGTGGACGAGTCAAAGTCTGGTATGTGCAGTTCTGAGAAAGAGGCATGCAACTGACCTGCAACAGCGTTTCCGATGTCAGGCTTTGTTCCGATCAATCGACCAGACCGGAAAACGACTCTTCCAGCAAGCACGGCACCGCCGAAGGAAGAACTCCCTGGACGAATACCACGTACGAGCGGATCTACTCCGCAGGACCAAAGGGAACCTGCCTCGGCTGCATCCAGCACGAAAGAGCAGATCGATGCTTCGCACAGCAGGGAGCCCCCTAATGACAGGAGCCGAGGGCGCGAGGAGAACAAAATTCAGCCTGCCTCCGCTGCATCCAGCACAAAAATCAATACTTCGAGCAGCAAAGAGGGCCCTGATGGCAAGATCCAAGAGCGCGAGGAGACTGGGCAGGACAAGCAAGCACAGAAGGTAGAGAAAAGCCTCGAGCAGCCTGCAGTCACTTCGGCACAGGTCCTCGCCTCCAGTGGCCAGAACGAAGATGGTGAGAGCGACGAAGACTCACTTCCCAGACTGAGGACTCGCCGGCCAAGAGGGCAATCCCCGCGGAGCAGCGCTGCTGCTGCCAGCGACAGCGAGGAAAGCCGTACTCCACCCAGGAGGAGATTACGGCGTCCACAGCGCCTGCCAAGCCCGCAGCCGACCCAAAGTCCCTCCCCAGCACCCACTTCCACGCCGCCGGTACAGCTTGAAGATCGAAACTGGGCAGTGCTTGGCATTGCTGGTGCCCGCAAGTGCGCGGACATCGAACAATACCTGACGATTTGGGGCAACACAACTCATCGTTTGCCGACCCTACAGGCCAACGCGAATGGAACTTATTCGATTGAGGTTGATGGAAGAATTTGCGAAATCGAGGACTTCGACAAGCCACATGTCCCTGGCGATGATACGGAGCTTCAGGTCCGATGGAAACAAGAGTGGTTGTACACCTGGGAGCTCTCCGATGCGCGCAGAACAGTCGTTGAGTTCAATTTAGGGAGAGGAGCCGGACCGGTGCTGGATCCTGACCACGTCGCGGGCTATCACTCTCCAGAGCCCGAGGCAGACACGACCAAGCGATGCAAGATCGATTTCGCAGCCAAGCTGCGCTTCACCCCTCACACAGACGAAGACTACACTGCTAGTCTGATGTGGCGATGCATCGAAAGATGCGAGCAAAGGGCCAACCATGACAAGCTGTCGGACTACTTCATGCGGACGGCCCTTGACGAGCTCCCCCGTCAACGTCTGGTTCTGCGTCCTCGCTGGCGTACTGACGAAAAGAGCGACGAGTACAACGACGTGCTTGAACTCAGGGAAGAGGTTCTGCTTCGGGCTTGCTTGAATTATGTGGTAGGTCAGGCGCGTAGAACCGAGTGCTCATACTGTCAGGAACACTGCGGCCCATTTCGGAGGTGCGTGACAAGAGCGGCGAATCACGAAGGTGCCTGTACGAACTGTGCCTTGGCGGGACGGAGCAGGCAGTGTGAATATTACATCAAAGGTTTGTCATGCACGATGATTGACTGTGCGTGCGTGCTGATCAGTCTAGACCGCTGGGCGCACGAAGACAAGCTGCGAGCAGCAGCCGATCCACAAACTCCTGACTCAAGAAGTCAAGTCACTGACGACGCCGATGACGATTTGGAAGAGGATTTATACTACTCTTCACCATTACCAGCTTCTGGTCCTCAGGCTCAACATGCCAACCGCTCAGCATTTTTGACGCCGCCAATATCCTCACCTCCTCAGAATCTGTTTGCCGGTGCGGTCAAAGCGGATGCGAGTGGTCGAACCTTTGCTGAAGTGAGCGACTTGGCCACCTCACTCTTGGAGTCTCTTGGAGACCAGCAGCTCCCCGCGGGCAAGGACCGTGGTGATACGGATTCCGCTACTCTTGCAAACCTTTTCGGAGACAATGCCTCGGCGTCGCTGGAGAATGATACCACGCTGCAAACCGGCAGTGGCCCAGAGGAGGGTCACTCGTCTCGGGCCAAATCAGATGTATCAGCGCGGCCCTCTCCTGAAGCCCGGCGGAAGGAAGATGCCAAAAAGGAGGGAAAAGCCATCAAGCGAAAACACAGCACCTCATCGATCGACCTATTGCGGCAGAATCAGCCCCGCCGGCAGCACAAAGTGGCCAGGACTGCTGAGCAAGCAGAGACGGAATCCACACGTCCTCATGTTGGGCATGACCATGACCCGCCTCCCGGTCCAAGTGGAGACGACGACATGACCCCCATGACTTCGAGGTCAAGACCTGATGGCAACGAGTCGCAGCAGCCTTCTGCACTGAATGGCTCTTCACAATCCCTTCCAATTCGTAGCGCGGCATTGGTACACCCACCATCTCACTGCGAAGCTGGCACTTCTGCTCCCCATAAAGCAGCATCGGCGGCCAAACGAGGCCATGACCCGGATCCACATGCTCGGCTCGCACACAAACGAGACCGACAGCGACCACACGCTCATTGCAGTCCTCGCGGACCATGTATCGATCCCGTCCTCAATCCTCCCCTTCCCAGGACCGAGCACGAATCACCCGTCGTCATCTATCGCGATCGTGACCAGCTCTTCGCCAAAAGCGAGCTCACCACACCACAAGTTCGCTACCTTCTGAGCCTCACACCTTGCAACATGATCGATTGCTTCACTCGCGGGTGGCATGAGTTCGCGGAAGAATTGAAGGGGAAGAAGGGCTTCGGGCCACAGTACAACAAGGAATGGTTTCTCTCCCGTAGCTGGACGCGGGAGCTCAATCAGATCGTGAGAGACAGATGTCCGTTGGACCCGAGGAGGCTTGGGCGGCCGGTGGTGATTGATCTTACCATGGATGATTGAGAGGAGACACCGCATTGACTGGCTGGAGTTGGATCTATCGTGAGCTTGTAAAACATTTGTAGTGTATCACCACATGTACGTTTCAATATGCAAAGTAGCTTGATCTTGTTACCTCTTTGAAAATTTTCTTGTGCAGCTCAAGACCAATTCCGTGGTGAATTCGGTGTCTTGCCCTTAGCATCTGAACTCGATCTTGACGATCTCGATGCTCCGCGCAATGAGATGATGACGCGTTTGCGTTTGATCAGAAAATCCGAAACGAGACCATTTCCATTCTCTTTTTCCTGCTTTCTTTCCGCAACACTCACAACAAAAAAAGTCAAAGTCAAAGCCGATGCGAAACGCGATGAAAACGGGACTCAAAAGACCACATGTGGTGGTTTTCAAAAATGGCTGCTATTTCTTCAGAAAGACTGCGCCTCTGTACATCAAGATAAGAAAAGACATGTTCGTCAAGCATTATCGCAACCGCCGCCGCCATCTCTAGCGCTGCTTTCCTCCGATCTTCATCGATCATGTATCCATGCCACAGCACGCACGCATGCTCCGAATCCCGCACCCCATCACTTGCGACACAATGACCACAGGTTTGTGTACCCTAAAATCGCGTGCCGTCGGAGCTGTCGGTGGCGCTCTTCTCCCTGACCAAGACCCTCCTTGGATTCCTGGGTGACTCCGCCGGTCCTCTTTCCTTCTCGACATCAGGTGTGCCACCTCTCGCGACACCTGTCCTGGAGTCGCTGTGTGTGTAGCCGTACCCATACGGCATGAATTGGTCTCGAGTCCTTGCTGGAGATCCTGGACGACCGGAGCTCGACGCGGCTGCGGCTGCGGCTGCGGCAACCATGTCGCTGTCGTTAAAGCCTTCTTTGCTCATAGGAGCGGCTCGTTCGGTGATGCCAGCATTGAAGCCGCCAGACATTCGGTCGACTTTACGGTCGTGGCGGCGTTTGAGGTAATGTGCGCCCCATCCGAGGAGAGGTAAGAGAATCGCGAGGACGATGAGCATGATGATCCATTTCTAGAGAATGTCAGTCTGAAAGTCCCCAAACCGACCTTCGTCTGGGACGTAAGAGCCACGGGTTCGGTGTCGGGATGGAGGTACTCACGTAATGGCATGTCCACCAGTCTCCAGCGCACTGTTCCTTGAAGGAGGTGTCTACAGGAGCACTCGATGCGGTGGCACCACTGCCTGCCGTCGCTGCTGATCCTCCTTTCGCCGTAGATGCCGCACCTCCCGCCGTAGTGGTGGTGGGTACGCCGGTCGCCGCCGCATCGCCGGCCGCATGCTCCGACGCGCCATTATCGCTGCCGCAGTTGCTGTTGTACCACGTCGAGATCTGATTGTTGTCTGTGGGATTGGTGCAGGTGGAATCGCAAATGCCGACGGCGGAGCTCCGGAGCGTGGTCAGGTAAGCAGACTGGCAGAAGCAGATCCAGTTCGCTTGAGTCGCGGTGTTGGTCGCCGAGCACGCTTGAGCGGCCTGAATCAAGAGTGGACAGCTCTGCGCGCAGGAAGGGAGGTTGCTGTTGCCGTTGCTGAGGACACCTTGAGTCAGGGCTTGGGCTGAGGCGGCGATGGTGACGAGGACGCCGAGCAGGAGACTGGAAATCATGGCTGCGATGGCGATTTCGCGTCACACCGGTGGCTTTGCATGCGAGTTGTTGTCGCGGCCAGGAGTGAGGTTGGGTTGAGCTGTTTTGATGGAATGTGGTCTGTCTCGTAACGATTGCGGTGCGAACGTGATCGTCTTTCGTCGCTTGGTGATATGTGTCCGGATAATTTCACGCTGCCACCGTCTAACGAGTGTGTTGGATGAGGAGTCTCCTCGGCGCAAGAAGTGCAAGTCAATCGTCAATAATACGGAGGGCGATGGTGCAGGAGAGGAGAGGAGGCGAGAGGAGGAGGCGCCGGCGCCGGCGCCGGAGTTTGCTTTTGGATCCTTCCGTACTTTACAAATCGATCAACAACACCGTCAACACGTCGACTTTCTCGACTCCTACTGTCCAGATTTCACATCTACTGTCGCTATCACATCCACAGTACACACACAATGTGAGTTTGTCGCAAAGATCGCTGGCATCACGCGTCACAGAATCTGAGCCAAAAGCAACTGTCGCCGTTCAGGAGACAGGAGAGGGCCCAATTTGCGGAATGCCTGTCAAATGCAACCTCGTTTTTCCTGGCCCTCGACCGAGCTCCCGCCAGCATGGATTTGGCCTCGAGCGTCACAGCTCAATAATAACAATACGAACGGCTCTGCGGCTTCCTCCGTAGCTCATGAGGGAACACTTCTCGTGAACATCTTGTTGTGCAGGTGATGGAATCTACGGAATCATATTGACTCTGATCATCGACTTTCCGTGCTACCATGCAGAGCAGAGCATCGGTTCGAAGGTTCCCTACAACGTGTTTGACATCACATTCTCAAAGGAACCATCGCAGCCATGCTGCTCGATCGCAAGCCAGTAGCATTTGTGGCCACCTAGCCCAATGATTTCATGACCGCTCGGGGGACATTCGACGCTTATCGCCAAGATCCTGATCGCCTCAAGTGCAAGCCGGAAGAGGGAGGACAACGCAGAAAGGAGCAAGACGTAGTCAAAGAGCAGCGGCGGGTTGGAAGCAGGTGAATCGGAAGCGGGCATGGTACATTGTTAGCAGAACACCGTCGACACCAGACTCTGCAGCTCAATTTTGCGAAGACAGGCTCGTCAAGGCGTGTTCCCGGTAATGACTGGCTTGGCCACAATGGCCATGTGCACTCGCACTCGCGGAACGCTTTCGCGAGCAACCGCATAATCGGGGGCAATGCCATGCTGCACACTTTTCCAGGTCGTTTGAGGCAAATCGACGGCATTGCTATGGTTAAGACGCATGGAGACTTGTAAGCGATTGAAAGTATCGGTACATCGAGCTCGCCCGGGTTGTTTGCATGGGAGCGATGCCGTCAGTCTTCAGACATGCCTGATGGAGCCACGGCACGGTATCACACCTCTCCCGCGCGCTCGGATCGGACTTTCTTTAAAATATTCATATTCATCGAGATGTTGTCAGCCCAACTTGCGAAGGTCTTCAGCGCTGATGTCAATGTTGTTCCTTTCGCTGCCAGAGGCCGTACGGCATCGCATCTACCGCTCACTTGGCCCAGAACTTTGCACTCGCGTCGAGATAGACCAGCACAATTGTCTCTGCTTCCAGAACAGCGCCATTTTGCGAACCTCCAAGCGGCTCACTGGCGATGTCCTCCGAGCTCACAGGAAAGGTCGATGCGACGTCGTGCACGTCTTCTCCCACCCAGCGGTTCTCAAACGCGCCTCATCATCGTACTCATGGTTGTATGCCATTCCAGCACCTAGGATGATATCCGTCGTCCTACTCAAAAGGCACGACACAAGCGTCGCGGCCTTCGACGAAATCGCAGAGGCATGGCGGGCAGCATTCAATTCGCTCCCTTCGGACGTAGGAGCATTCACAGAGACCGTATTGTTCGACTTCAGCCCTTTCTGTGCAAAGCATCTTCTACCGAGAGCTGCAAAGTTAGTCAATATCCTCAGTGCTGTACTCAGACATCGAAGCCGAGGGAGAACAAGCTGTAAGATTACAGGATGCGGCAATGACAAGGAGAAGATATTTCTGGAAAGCCTGCTGGTTGGGAACGTGTCTGATGAACCATTAGATACGGTTCTGTCTCTACCGGCGGAGGATGTCCAAGAGACATTAGATTCTCCGGGCTTGTGAGTGGTCTTCGTCTGCGATTTCCAGTTTTTTCTTGGCTGACCATGTCTAGCGGAATATGCTATACCATCATAGAAGCCGCTGAGCAAGAGCTTGAGCCAGCTTTATCTGAGATACCGATTCGGTGACTGATGTTCGTGCCTTGCATCAGAACAACAACATCCTTTCTTCCACTCCACTCCACGTCACAACGACGACTTCTTTCCACGACATACAGCCACCGCATCCCCAGGACATTGACCGCACTGCATCAAGAGAAAAGAGCATCGTACATCAACAATGTCGAGGTCCAGCGACTCGCAGTCGAAGGAAAATATCGACGCGGCGAGAAAAGCGGCCCATAAGAAGACGAAGCGCGAGCGAGCGACAGGTGGGTGACGGCGAGAGAATCGGGATATAGATGAAGAGAAGGCAGCAGAGGAAGGTCTCGAAGAGAAGCGAGCATTTGCCGCTACGATGGCGAAAGTTGCCGAAGAGGCGCTGAAGAAGATGCGAAAGATGCAGCACGCTGCGACACGGCGGAAACGCTATTGATCGGCAGGATGGATTGGCTGTGACACGGCCGCCAGGCTATCGAACGGCTTTTCTTTGCCTCTGCACAAACCCGAATCCTCGCTGGTCTTCACGTTAAGGAAGATGCAGCACGCTGTGACACGGCCGCAAGGCCACCGCACGGCTGGACGGAACGCTGTGATACGGCGGCAACGCTATTGAGCGGCGGACCTTTGCCTCTGCATCTTATGCGTTTCCTGCACGATATACTAGACACAGGTGGGTTGAGGAGCCTGAGTTACCACTTTTCTCATCCAGGCTGGGATATCCTATGTATTCGGGCTCGGCCTTGTCTAATCGGGAGTTGGAATTGGTGTTGCTTGGAGTAATTGGGTGTTTTGAGATTCTGCCCAGGAAGGATGGAGATGGGGATGTGAGTCCTTGGACGGCAAGTGCGAATGCCATGCCATTGATGAAGGTGGGAGGCGGTTCTGAGGGAGTGTGAGGTGGTGTTCAGGCCTGGAGATCGGGATGCGTTGGAGGAGGCCTCGAAAGAGTCTGGAACGTCATGCGCGCAAGTCTCCTCCTATCAGGTCTGAACTCCTCGGCTCTTTGTGGACTGCGGGATCCAGGTTGCAGGCCTAGGCATTGGGAAGGCATGCGGAGTGAATGATCTCCACTACCTTTTCGGGATCTGGAGGCTTCGTTAAGCAGCAAGTAGGAAACGATCAATGCAGAGTCCATCATTGACAAGCCCCGACCAGCTCATGATGGAAGGCGAGGGGATGCTGGTGATGCAAATTCTGATGCTGATACTGATGCTCATCTACCACCTCCATCTCGCTGACCCAGCGCAGACTGAGCGCTACGCATTGTCGATGTAACTCCTCGATATCGGAGAAGATGAAGTTCCTGCGTACGTGAGCAATTGGGAATAAAATTCTCATCATTGGTTCTGAGTGCTCATGATGTTGTCGTCGTCTTATAGGATGCCCCCAGTTCTAGAGAGCAGGATATGGTTGGTAGAACGGTCCGGGCGCATCGTGCAGGAATGATGTATGCAGGGGAACGAGAACTCTGTCAGGTCAGGATAGCAGGTCCATTGTTTCAACCTCACCTCTACAGATCCTCTGTATCTCCATACCTTTTGACGAGCGAAGCCGCATTCGATGGAGGGCACGCACGACTCCGGCTTTACGTGCAGAAGTTGACTCCAGACCGGAATAACATCGAGCCTGCTGTCCGCCTGATCCGTTCCTGCCTGGTCGATATCTTTTTCTCTTTGTGGGAGCATCTACCAGAGCTGGGGTCTTGCGAGAAAGGTCATGGGCGTCGAATTGGAACGGTAGTTTTCGTTTTCGCGCAATGTCGAGGTTCGCCCGGCGCTGCTCGGTCGGTCGATGGGAAATGGGAACCGTAGTGTACGTGATGCGATGTGGTGGGAGATGAGTCAGCAATGCCAAGCTTTTGGTCTGCTTCCCTTTGAAAAAAATCCGTACACCGCGACACAATTCTCTCATCTTTCACATGCGCTCGGTATCCAGCATTTCTCGCTGCCGGTCGAGGAAGCTCTCGCATCATGCAGCCAAACTGATGATTCCGTGCTCCAGACAAGTCTCTCTCATGATCGATGGACCGCGTGATCTCTTCACAATCACGCGGCGGCGTCCGGGTGAACGAAGGGACTGAGCTCGATGTCTGCTCGATGCCGAGTTGGTACGAGAGGAGAGGACGTCCATCTACACACGGCCGTGTGACGACGTTACGTTCGCTATCGCGGTCGCGGGCCTTCTGTGCGTCATTCCTCCGCCCCGAGTGCGCACCTCCACAAATGAAATCGCAGCGCCATCCGCCTTCCGGAAGGACGATGTGTCTAGCGCAAAGCCCATATGAATGATGCCGGACCACTACCTCGCTTTAGGCAGGAGAATCTCGTCAGACTCCAGGAGGAATTCAGCTTCTCTGCTGTGCGACTCGCTGCTGATGGAAGGCACGCTGCGTATACCGGATGATGGCATCCGTGCTATCTGCAGCTGTGGTAGGTCAAGTCTTGGGAGTCGAGCTTCATATGCTTGAACTCAAGCCCGTTGCATTGGCGTGTCACTCCTGCCTCCTCCTCCTCCTTCTCAGGCTCTTCCGTCATCACGTTGCTCTCAATCTGGTTTTGCAGCCTGAAGAAGTCTTGAACGCAGGGCGTAGTGAGATACGGTCACTCTTCAGTCGCTGCTTGAGAGTGGAGCAAGACTTTCGAGATGAAGTCCAGTCTCGCTGCGTTGGCGCTTGCCAGCACTGTCACCGCTCAATGGGGTCGTGGCGGTGAGCATTCCGGTCCTGATCACGGCATCGGACATGGACATGGACAGCGAGATTGGAATTGGAATGGTGGCTACCCGCATGGCCGTTACCATGTAGCGGGAGGCCAAGCACCTCCTCCAGAGGACTCGTACAGCCACAGCTACTTTGATCAGCTCATAGATCACAGCAATCCGAAGCTCGGTATGTCTTCGATCACATGGACATGCCGAATACGCTGACGCTGGTTACATATGCAGGCACGTTCAAGCAATTCTACTATTACGACACCACATATTGGAGAGGACCAGGCTCACCGGTTATATTGTTCACACCCGGCGAGGTCAACGCAACCAGATATTATAGTTACTTGACCACGAACCGGACGACCGGTGTTCTTGCCTCAGAGATTGGCGCCGCTACAATCGTCCTGGAACATCGATATTGGGGAACTTCAACTCCCTACACCGACCTGACGACAGCCAACCTGAAGTATCTGACTCTCGAAAATGCCATCGCGGACATGAACTATTTTGCCGAGAACGTGAAGCTCCCCTTCGACACGCACGGTGCCAGCAACGCAGATGATGTTCCATGGGTGGTCATGGGTGGATCCTACTCTGGAGCGCTATCTGCTTGGATCGCAAGCACTGCACCTGGCACAATCTGGGCTTACCATTCCTCAAGTGCTCCAGTCGAAGCAATCGGCGACTACTGGGTTTACTTCAAGCCGGTTCAAGATGGCATGCCCAAGAACTGCAGCACAGACCTCGCTCTAGTCATCGACCACATGGACGATATCTTGATAAACGGATCCAAACAACAGCAGCACGATTTGAAAGCCATGTTCGGTATGACGGCAGTCGAGCACAATGACGACTTCATGGGCGCACTAGAGAATGGTCCATGGCTTTGGCAAGGCAACCAGTTCTACACCAACAGCGGCTTCTTCGATTTCTGCGACTACATCGAGAACGCCCAGAGCAACGCAACCCAAACCATACCAGGCGCAGAAGGTGTCGGCGTCCAGAAAGCCCTCGCAGGCTACGCCAAATGGTGGACCGAAGTCGAGCTGGATGGTTTCTGCGCGCAATACGGCTACACAAATGACAACCACAGCGTCGCATGTTTCGACACCTACGACCCAAACAACCCAATGTACACCGACACATCACTCAGCAACACCATAGACCGTCAATGGATCTGGATGACCTGCAACGAACCCTTCGGATACTGGCAAAACGGCGCACCCCAAGGCCGACCATCTATCGTCTCCCGCCTCATCAACAACGCATACTACGAACGCCAATGTGGTCTATACTTCCCGACAGGACCAGAAGGCGAGACGTACGGCCTCAACCAGGGTAAGACGTACAACGACGTCAACAAATTCACCGGAGGCTGGAATATCGACAACACCACCCGCATGATCTATGTCAATGGCGACAACGATCCTTGGAGAGAAGCTTCCGTGAGTGCGGATCTTCGGACTGGGGGACCTTTGGCGAGTACGGAGCAAGTACCGATTGAGATTGTGCCTGGTGGCTACCATACCAGTGATCTCATCACACAGAATGGTGTAGTAAATGCTGGCTGCAAAGCGGTCCAGGACAGAGTCGTGGCACAGTTGGCTGCATGGGTTGCTGAGTTCCCGAAGAAGGGATACGGGCATGGAAGTAAGAGATACTTTGAAGCATAGATGGACCTTCCATTGCTGAATGAAGATTTCGTGATCATGATATCCAAAGTCGATCCTGGATTCTCTTTGCGGTACAGACACAGCGACTGAAACTGCTGTGCCGGCACTGTCTAAATCTGTGACAGATGAAAATTTCCCAAATACCCACATGCGCCTGCGCCTTTATCTCTCCGCATCACCAATGCAGGGTATCTCGCTCGCTCCAAACGCAGCACATGTTGTCTATCCACATTTCCTCTACGACGGAGGTCCTTTTGGCGTCTCTTTCGGATCAGGGAACGAATCAATCAACTCATCCCCGGACTTCCCCCTCACAAGATTCCTCAAATTCGTCTTCACACTCACACGGATATTGCTCGTCTCAGCCTTCTTCCGTGACTTCGAGTCGATGTGATTGTGAATATTACTCATCGTCTTTCCCACTGGCAAATGGTGCTGGAACAGCTGTGGCTGCAGACTCAAACATATCGACATGGGCCGATCGGCGGTTCCATCGCAGACGTCTCTTAACATGAGATCGAAGGCCGAGTTCATTTTGCGGAGACCGAGCTCCCAGATCACGTTTCGAGCTCCTTGTTGGCTCAAGGCGTATGCGAGTGTGCAGACGTTGTTCCGTGCTCTTGTCACGACGCGAGTGTGAGGTGGGTATTCGTCGATGAGCTCCGCTCCTCCCCAGTCTTTTCGGAAGTGTTTCGGGGCGACCGTGGTGTTGTCGTGAGGGATGATGGCGCGGCCGAGTGGTAATTTGACTTTAGGGTTCTTGCTCGTTGGGAAGTTCATGCCGCAGTGACCGAGCCAGTGCATGTCCCATCGATCGATGTCGCCATATGGTGAGGTCGTCGGCGTTGAGACTTTGTATTGATTGATGTCGAAGTCTTGGTGCTCGTCGCCTTTTCGCGAGCGAGGATACGTGGGATCGAGGAAGGTGGAGGTTCCTTCGTTCGGTTGGACGAGTAGTCGTGCAGCTCTGGCAAAGTCGTACATTTGGTCGTGTATGCGGATATCCCAATCAACATCGGCTTCGAGGATGAGGGCTGAGCCAAGATTCTGTTCAACGATACTTTGCGACATTAGCAAGGGTGGCCTGCATGTGCATATCGTGTTCAACCACCTACGCTCGCACCGCATTCATATGAGCTCGCCATGATCCAACATTGCCCAAATTCTTCGATCGCATCTGTTCGATGTCTGGGTGCTCTGCGGGCAACATCATTTCGTCGACCTCGTCCAAGTGTACCCCATCGATAAATTCCACGGTGAGGTTTGAAAAGCCCGCTGCAAGGGCCATAGAATCTCGAAGGTCGGATCGTGAGGGCATGTTGATCACGAAGATTTTCTCAAACTGCAGCTCGTCAGTATTTGTCGGACGGGCAGTGGAAAGTGCTGACCCCAAGCGTGCGATTATATACATCGCTGATAGGGTCTCGAACTTGGTCGTTATGATATGACTCCGCGCGCACACTCTTGAACGATGTTCCCGAGGCCTGAGATACACCAAAGACAATGAACAGCAGCGACACAGCTCCAGCCAACGCCAACATGACTTTCCGCGTAGACCCGCTGCCTGTCAACTTATCGACCTTTGCCCATCGCGGAAGCTGCATGGAGCTTTTGCTGAGCAGTGGACTTGCTGGAGCAGACATCTCGGAACTGTCGGGTGATGGTGGACCGACCACTGGTAGACTTAGTATGCGAGCTGTTACCGATATCGTTCTAAAAAAGCATTCGATTGTGGTGTTTCGTTAGGTGTGCAGTGCAGTGTGCAATCGTGACCTGTTTCATCAATCAAAGCATGGAATGTCGAGGCGAATGAAATGAGTGAGCGAGTGACTTGATACTTGGTGAAGACAGAAAGCGAAAGACTGGTAAGGGTGGAATAGAGGAAGTAGCTTCGGGGTGCTCGGGAGGGCACAGCAAGTACTATCGCGAGCGAGCGAGCGATTGGTACCTCAGCAATTCTTGTATGTCAGGAAATTTAGCGTACCACTGTTTGCAACAGTGGTTTACTTCCGGAGGGCGTTATCCACTAACTCAGTATAGTTTGCCTAGTAATCGACGGTGCTTTTCCTATTATAGTACCGGGTTAACCTTCTCGGTTATACCTCCGATTCCAACCTTATCTCTATAGCTAATTCTCGTATATAGATCAAGCTCTTTCTAATAGTTTAAATAGCACAATTAGTTCACTATTGTTACTATTAGTTTACTATTGTTACTATGCCGCCTATATTAACTAAACTAGTGCCGCTATTTAGGCCTAATCGTATACTATATAATATAATCGATATCCGAGAGCAGCTATTTAATATGCCGTAGGGGTTAACGTACGAGCCTAAGCGCTTCGAGGTACTAAAGGCTTATATTAGTAACGTATATAAGGAGTTAAAGTCGCCGAGAACGAAGGATAGGTTAGAGCAGCGGTCGTACTAGTATTGTCGTTATAGGCGCGATTAGTAGCGGAATAGGTTACTAGGAGAGGGCATTCGTAAGGCTAAATATAATAAAGAGCCGTATAACGCTATAGTAGTCGTTATATCGCATTATCGGAGTAGAGCGACTAATCTATACGAAATTAGTGTCCGCCGCTATAGAAGCGATCCTTTAGCGATTAGTAATAACCTACATTGCTACGACCTAAGATATATAGATATTCGGTTAGCAAATAACGCCCTAAAAGTCCTCCTCGAGGAATTAATAGAATAGCGCGCTTTTAACGTTGCTGAGGTGTTAGACTTCGTTAAAAGGGGGCTATTAAAGGACGAGTTTAGCAAAATTGGCGGACAGTATCTAAAGGCTAGTATTGTAGCGTAGTCAAAGATTAGGCCTAACCTAAGGAAGGCTCGTGCTAGTAACCGTAGAAATACGAGTATCTAGCTAGACGACCTTGCTATCGCGCTAAAGGATATATATAATAATACAGACGGCAAAGAGCTCTAATTCTAGGTAATATCGAAGATACTAAAGGGCAAGACAGAGCGTAGTGTTGTCTTTTAGAGCGAGTAGCAACGAGAGTTGTTAAATACCGAGGCAGGAGATGTAAGTATTGTTGTTAGTGTTAGTAGTAGTAGTATAGAAGGCAGGCGTATAACTAAGCTTCTAAAGCTTGCGTTCTATAGTTCCTACTACTAACTTTAAAAATTCAAAACATTACCAACTTATATACTATACAGTTGTTCTTACTAGACGCGACTTATAAGACTACCGACCTTAGTTAGAACCTTTTTACTATCTATATTCGCAATACGTTAGGTTGTTGGCTACTAGTAGGCTACCTATTGCTAGAATCGCAGAAAGCTAAGCTCGTAGAAGCCGGACTTCGAGCTATTAAGGTATAGTTACTACTATAGAAGCCTATTGCAGCTATAGTCGACGACTCGGCCTTAGAATAGGCGGCTATTAACCTCTCGTAGAAGGATAACGATTAGGTACGAATTTACCTCTACTAGCGGCACGTTAAAGAGACCTTCCTTCGCTCGTTTCTAGAGGCCTAGTTTCTAGAGATTGTTAAGCGGTTTTACTACTTAATCTACTACGTACGTAGCGTAGGCGACGTTAGTACCGATATAGCATAGATTTAAGAGTGGTTATAAGAGCATACGCCTATAGGATAGTAGGACAAGGTCCAATATATACGCTATAATTAGAATAGCTAAACTTTACGGAAATAGGCAACTTAGGCACGGCTCTATAGCCTATTGTTGCTACAAATAAGGACTACCTCGCCCTTAGAGGGCTATTACTATGCTATTAAGTATAACCGCAATAAGCGCAACCTAGTGTTCTATACACTATATAGTACTATTATCGAGGTTCTTAAGGTCGACGACAGGTAGGCTTATAAGGCATAGCTAGCCAGTTACAGGCTCGGCAAACGCATACAATATTAGTACTATAAGGGCCTTCTAGGCTTCGAGACACTGCAACTACTAGCTGCTTAGGATTATATTCGAGAACAGGTAGATATTACTATTAAAATAGAAGCTAAGGCAGCACCTGTATATAAGGGCATACTGCGCAGTTATAACTATATAACTCTAGCTCGCTGCAATTGCCTCGTATAGTTTCAAACCCGCCTACCTTGCTACTATATTCTATGTGACTATCTGTTTAATAGACTCGAAATTAGTAAGCTATAACAGCGACGATATATCGAGCTGTTTCCGGGCCTAAACGTCATATTTGCTTACGAATACTAGCGCGCTCTCGATACTTAATAACTCGTAATCGAAGGTTATAAAGAAGACGCTATTGCCCTAGTATAAACACCTCTTTTAAGAGATCTACGAGGCTACTTTAAGGAGGCGGTAGAAACGCTAAATCTAAAGTACTAGCGGATTAAGGACGACCCTTCTATTAATAGTACTATAAAGGACGCATTCTACGCCTTCTACGTACGGAAGGTTAAAGACTTCTCGGACAGTTGCTACGCGTTAAATATTAACTATTTTATCGCTAACCTATAAGAGGTCTATTTTATAGGTAAGACCGAGCGACAGTAGACAACTTAACTACCTTCTAAGCTAGCGATACTAACTCGCGCTCTACTGCGACCGACTAAGCTAGCGATACTAACTCGCGCTCTACTGCGACCGACAACGCCGGAAACACACTACCTCGTCTATTCTAATATAATACTGCGGCCGTCGCCTTTAAAACAGCGCGTTTAATCGTTACCTATTCGCTAACCTATATTCTTATTACCTCCGCCTCCGCCTCCGCTAGGTAACCTTACTCCGAGGCTATTTCCGCGCCTTCTACCGCCCTCCTTTAATATACCGCGCCGCGAGACAATGCTAGATATATAGTCCTTATAACCGCTCGATATAGCCGACGTTAAAGAGGTAGATTTAATAGGAGATATAATAGTGCGAGGTCTACCTACGCCGCTAGGTCTTCGCTACTTAACTAACTATGTTAGAGCCAAAGAGGCTACACGTAATTGGCATATAATCAGGCCGAGTGAAGCTAGGGTCTTAGTGCCTTAGGCAGGGCTTAGCGCTTGGCGTTAGGCCAACTCTCCTGCCTTCCTCCCTCTCCTTCTAGATCCTTATCGAATACTACCTATACCTACTACTACCCTATCTACCTGCTAATATAACCCTTCTTATACAGTATTCGATCTACCCTTTAAGGGTAGCAGCTAGATAGTCCTTATTTCAAGCTTTTAGCGGTATAGCTACAATAACTAATCTAACTATATTGCGCCCGAAGAACGGGACCTATACGTACTATTCTATCGAAACAACCGTACCAATTATTAAGTAAGGCCTTCTATACGGCCTATTATACCGAGTCAATCGTACTAAGCCGATATCTACTAATTCCGCTACATCCGTATCTTAGGGGCCTACAATACATTATTAGTGTTACCCCTTACAATAGCCGGCTTATTACGAAGCAACAACAACCGTGCCGCCGCTAGCAGCGCTAGCAATAACAATACCAGTAGCATAGTACCTACTAAAGTGCCTACTAAAGCACCTGCTAAGGTGCCTGCTAAAGAGCCTGCTACTAGGCCTGCCGAAGAACCTATAGTTCTAGGTAACGACCTAGAATTGCCTATCGACGACATTCTTAACAACATTGTTAATCGTCGATATAGCTAACTAGCCTTTAGTCCTCAACTAGTAGGGAGACTTCAAGAAGCCACCTAAAACAGGCTTACTGCCCTACGTTAAGAACAATAGCTAAAGGATAATCTCCTCGAGATCCGCCGCCTATAGGAAGCCCTAACAACTAACACTAAGCCGACAGCAGGGCCTTCCTTACTATTAGTCCTAGTCTAGAAGAAGGATGCTAAACTTAAGGACTGTACCGTATTTAATAGCTCTAGCCGCAAGCAGTACAATAATCACATACGTAATTGTAAATTAAACTAGCGGAATGCACTAAGGGCCCTGCTAGACGACTATTCGCTAGTCGTCTATACTATGCAATATATTAATAGAGACCCAAAGCGTACCTAGGATAACTACTTTAACTCCCTTACTAATCAGACCTCTGTTTAGTAGCAAACCTACAAAACCATTATACTAGACACCCTTAGAAACCCTATACTAAGGCAATAGCACGCTTAGGACTAGTACCTTCGGGCTAAGCAAAAGACTAATTAATTAGCCCGTTTATTTAAGGCCTATTTGAAGACCCTCGAGGATGATTTGCTAGCTAAGACCGACTCTATCTAGATTTCCGAAATACGCCCTAAATTGCGATAGGAGCTTATCCTCGAATTAGACCGTCGCCGTGTATTCGAACAGGCTAACCTAATACGCATTCAATTCATAGTCGAAGTAGAAACAGCCGAGCGGGCTGTCTAGCTCTAATAACGACTAGAATCGAGGATCC